CCGGTACCGAGCCCCGGACAGCAGCCCGGTACCGAGTTACGGACAGCAGCCCGGTACCGAGCCCCGGACAGCAGCCCGGTACCGAGTTACGGACCAACACACAGCTGGGACTTTTCTTACTACGACTTACTATGAATTACGGTCATTTTCAAAGTGCCGTCTCTTTATGTGCCGTAAAGATTTATTCTGCGCGTGTATTGCTTTATTACGGCTGAGGACCGAACGCGGAACTATTGGAAATTCCAAACATCATACGTTACCCGTTTGTTTATGAAATGACGTCATGATGGAAAATTAAACACGTAAACACTGTGTTTATTTTCATAGATAAATAATCCCTGAGCCGAAAACAGGATCCTGGCTCACATGCTGTTATGCAGAAAAAGTGTTTGGCCTATGGACCTCAGCCTCAGGAGACCAATTTATCAACCAGAACAACACAGACACTATTACTTGGCAACATGCACCAAACTATCCCGACTATCACAGCATGTGAGAGACCTCTTAAGCAATCTGAGAACAGTGTGTGTAGAAAGCCCACATCTGGACCCCCCTGTCTGAGACACCACACCCCCTCTGCCCCCGCTGGGGGGAGCAGGGTGGGATGAGAGCAGGGGCAGGGGCTGTGTTCCCCAGGGCCGGGGATGCTGACAATCACTATGATGTTCAGCTGCTTACGTTAAAACAACCAAATCATATAAAGTAAGTCTGGGGGGGCAGAGTAGTTATTTGTGCTGTTGAAATGATTTGGAGCTTGGCCTTAAAAACAATTGTAAACTGATCCTCATTTCTTCTATTTAACGAAGTACAATTTACTATAACAATTAGAATCATCCAAGTATGTATTACTGATAATAATATTGACTTATATTAACCTAACAAGTTCCCCAGTAAATTTACCCTGAGGAAATAACAAAGTTTCCCCTGAGTTAAGACAATCTGTGTGTGAACTCTAACAAACCCAAGAACCATACCTCAGACTCCACAAGCTCCAGCCATCTTCACTCCTCACAAAGACCAGTTCAAATCAGGGAACAGAGAATCAAATTCATAATTGACCATTTCATTTCCTGTATTGGGTTTACTGTACCCAAATTAATTTTTTATGTTAATATATTTATGGTCTTCTTCAAAATATCCACCTCACGTAAGGAGTAAAATAATAAAAATGGGCAGCACAGGGAACAGATTCATGCAGTTCTCTGCATTTATCCAATTCATTTCTCACCATCTAAATACTCCAAATCAATAGTGTGATTAAAAAAAATTCATTCCAGTGTTTATTTTTATATTCATTCTCTCACACTGAATAAAGCATATCAGCCAGCAGTGGCAAATGCTTCAGACAGTCAACATCCACCTAGGTAAGTTAGCAGCAAAATAAGAATAAAACGCCATTTTAAATCATCAAGAAGAAACCTCACATATCTAAAATAAAGCAAGAAATGAGACCAGGAGTTTAACAAATACGATGTGGGAAACCTGGGGCATGTAAAATGAAACTTTGTGTGGCTTAGGGACACAGTTAAAGACCATACACCCTAATGTCTGTTTCAAGGCCGTGAGAAAAGATGGGAAAGTTTCACTTGCAACGGGGATGCTCTCCTCTGACTTTCTGCTGACTTAGACTTGACTAGAAGTCTTTTTTACCTGGCAGATTTTCAATATAGAAAGACTAAATTCAGTTTAACATTTTTATTCAACATTTTGTTCCGTTAGCATCATACAGTAATTTGGTTGCTCAGCCACATAACTGAATATGAAACAGATTGTAAGAATACGCCACAAATGGTGTACATTATTTTAGATTGTTGAACTTTGGTAAAAAGAAAGATTTGTTCTCGACACGGCCACCCAATTATGATTTTATGGGAGACCTTACTGGACAAAGGGACTTTTCTGAGCTTGAGTACTTAATAAAGAAAATTCTATATGCCTTCAATTCCAACTTGTGGGCCAGTTCATGTCACACCGTTAAACTGAAATATTCTTTAACCAAATCTATAATTTGCCAATAGTGGGACAAACAAAAAGCAAATATAATATTTGAAATTCCATTGAGTAAAGGAGACCCCATTCTCGCTCTCAACGTTTAACTTGGACAGAAAGCTTTAGCAGAAGGAAAATAGTATCTAAGACATATTTTGCTGGGTTGATGCATTTTTTCAACCGTGGAACAAAATGTTGGATAAATGTAGAACTCCAAAATGGATAAGTATGTTCCTGGAAAATGTTGTAGTCTTGCAGTCTGGAGTTGAATGTAAGTTAAATCCCATTTGCATTTATGACACCACATATAATGTAAAGGAAAAAGTAAACTTATGGCTGGATTAGATTTGTCTCAAACAGAATCACTCTGAGATATCCTACAGATTACTGTGGGACTCTGGGAATCTGCAGTCTACTCTGTTAGACAAATTGGAAATAAAGTGCAACAGTTTCATTTAGACTAAAAACTGCAGTCTTGGAAGCAGCTTAGTTGTGCAGTATCTTATCACAATATCTAATATAAATGGGTTCTTTAACCCAGATATGTATGCATATGTGATCGTGTTAGGCCTCCCAAAGGGTCCCTCTCTCACAGCGAATGTAACAAATGCAGAGAACACACTGTGCAATTGTAAAATTCAGTTCAAGAAGATTGCAGAGGATAATGCGGATGCGATGGTTCAGCTCCTCAGACACGGCGGGAAAGCTTCAGGGGTTGTAGGGGAGGCCGGCGGTGTCAGTCGAAATACAGACAGCTGACTCTGTGACGGTCCCATTGATGACTTCTGGGAAACCAAGCTGCAACGGCAAAAGTGGAATCATGCCTGATTGATTACTTCTTACAATAAAAACCTTTTTCCAAATGCCTGAATTCTATTATACAGGCTGAGTGTGCATATCATTTGTGCAGTAAGTACAGTCATTGTCAGAAAAACAAACAGATGGAAATGTCTCTGAAAAGCCAGTTTGAGTGGACCTGTGTCTTGTCATTTTCTGTCACAGCTGTAGAGTACATAGTTTAATGTCTAACAGGAAAAGGCACAGAGAATAAAAAGCTTTGCCTTACCTTTCTTGCATGCCTTCCTGATGCTCTTCATCCCCAGATCCCTCCATGTGGTCAACACAGCTGTCTTCCGCGCCCTCCTGCGCCTTACCGACTTTGTTGGTAATCAGACACTGACGAGGCCAGCACCCCTCTCCACTCTCTTGGTCGCTGTATTCAATGGGTTCTACAACAATGGAGGGAAGGCGCTCCCTCCGATAGAGAAAATCTTCTTGATAATCTGTGTCTTCATTGATGTTGGCTTCAGGAAAGATCTAAACAGAGTGGGAGAATCATGAGTCCAGGGCGTCAGAAGAGGGTTGCATGGTTGTGTGGTGGTTAGACCTGCTGCCCTACATCTAGAGGGTTTAGGTTTGGAGTTTGCAAATGTCACTTATCTGTTCATGTATTTAATTTCCTTTGTTTAAATTCCTCTAATAGTACAAAAACTATTGGATGACCCTCCTAGGGTGCCCCAAAACCCACCAAGTGACACCTCAAACCCTTCCAGGCATAAGAGCTGTATTCAGTGGACAGCGGTGGAGACCACCACAGCACCATGCAGACCCCACTGCTCAACTACTGGAGATGAGAGACTGAGGAAGGTCCCAGCGGAACCAGCTCTACCTGATAGGCTTTGCTGCCCCTTCTCTGAACGGATCCTTCCTCCATTTGAGAGTCCATTTGAGAAAAAATGCTGCTCATTCTGCAAATTCACACACACACAACTTTGTTACACAATATTAAGAGTTTTCATGTAGAAAACTACTCTCCAGTTGAGTGCATGAAGAGCACTTCTAAAAGGTTTCTGTGCAGCCTGAGGTCCGTGTGGTCACAGTGTGCCTTCCCCCCTGAGCCACCAGCTCACGCATGGATATGTCCTCACTTTCTTCACAGAGACGCTGTTTAGTGTGTGTAGTGTGAGGTACAGAGATGGCCGAGGAGCAAAGAGAGGAGCAGAGCATCTATTTTGTTTGTGTGTTAATCTGCAGATAAGTTCTTAATGAGATAACAGGCTTGTTCAACAGGAGATCCTGTGGCCCCAAGGATAAGGGAAGGGTGAGGGCAGATTTCAATGAAGGGAACATTTGCTTTCACATTTAAGGAACCTAATGCATGTCTTATAAATTGTCCATTTCCTTTGAATCATTAGTCTTAGCCTGATTATGCAGGAAGTGTTTGAGTTGCATTGCATTTCCGTACATACACAGGGGTCACTGATGCTTCCATTACCAAATGAATGTGTACGGATTCCATTTTTACGTACAAGTTAACAGCCGTGTTGGGGAGTGATTCATGTATTATAGTGATTTGTATGGATTTAGCCTTTGAACAGTTAGTTTTGAGGAACATACTTTCTGTTTAACTTGTCTTTGACATTATTTTTCAGCGCCACAAATGAAACATTGCTAAAGGCTGTACTTCTAATGTGAGAAATGCCTCTGTAGAGAGTAGCTGTAGTTTATTTTTAGTATCTTATTATTGTGCCAGCTTACCTTGGGGAGGCAGGATTACAGGTCAACTTGATAAAGCAAGAAAATATTCCAACCAAACTGGATTACTTCTGTTTGAAGTCAAGATCTCTGCTGCTGGTATCTTGTCTTCTCTGTGCCAGTCCCAGGTTTAGCTGCATTTCTTCCAACCTTACCTACCGTCCATCTGTTTTTATTTTCCCTCCCATTACTTTCCCACAACGCAATGCGTTGTGACGCACATCACACTGTAATTCATGTCGACGTGCAAACCAGCTCTCCGGCTGACAGGCTTAGTGTCAGTCTCATTTGCCAACGACAGCTTGATGCAACATGTGAGTGTCCAGCCGCACAGGCCTTGTGCACACAGATTAGAGGCAGATAAGTCCTTGCTGGACACACACATCATATTGAAACAAAACCCCCAAGCAGAGCTAAAAATGCAATGGCTTTACGTCAAATAACTACAACAAGCTAAATCATCTGCAATCACCACAGAAAATAATCCAAATAATTACAAATAAAGTTTGGTGAGTCTCAAGCTTTAAATGAGAGCTTTAAGCTCTGGGCTCCTATCCATCACTGAGTCTCATGTCAGCTCCTAGTGCTGTTGGTTCTCTCTCCCCCCGTGGTCTGCCTGGGCGTCCTCTGCCGCCCTGCTCCCGCTGAGCCCAGGGGAATCCTCCTCAGATTAGAGGCAGCTCATGAGGGCTGGAACAAAGCTGCTAGGCCTCACTACTGCCACCGAGGGTTGCAGCTCCTTTGGGGTCTTTGTCTCCTGTTTGCTGTCTTTCTAAACTGTCACATGCTTTTTCCCTTGTCCTCAGCTGCCCTGTTCTCAGAGGCTACTAGCCAGGCTAGAATTGAATTAAAAATAAATAACAGAAACTTGTGCAACACACCAATGGATCCATTAAACGACCAAGATGAACCGGCAGACAAATGGAGACAAGCGCTCTTTCTACCAGAGGGCAGTGGACACAGGTGAACCACATCTGGGGGGCGGGCAATTACCAAGACGGGAACAAAGGTCCTGGTCTGAAACCAGAGGGAAAGGGTGAGAACATGAATAAAACAGGAAGTGCCTGAAAACAAAACCCTGAACATGAACATGAATAAATTCAACACACTTGACCAGACACAATTCTATATTGATCTGTAGCTCTTATATTTCATAAACATATTTCATAAACATATTTCATAAACATTTTCAAGAGTATCTATCCATGGGCATGCCACATTACTTCCACAGGTGGACTGGTTTGGAGTTACACTGATTCTTATGTATCTCTCTCTCTCTCTCTCTCTCTCTCTCTCTCTCTCTCTCT